CTTACTTAAATTATATTCTTGACTGACATAAGTATATACAAATTATCATGTGCAGATAAGTGAAGAAAATTCATTAAACATTGGTATAAATATAAAACCTTTTAAAACTATTTTTCCTCACCATGAAATCTCATTAAATGTCAGATCAAACAAAGATGTAAAGGAGGCCCGACAGTAAAATGAATTACAGGTGCATACATCCTATGTAAGCTAGGCTGTGTTTGTATGTTCACATAAGCTATTGAGAGTTTTCTGATGTTCAACAACCTTGGCTATCGTGAATGATAAAATAGGGAGGAATATAATTACTAGATATAATCTTATATCTAATAATATTATTGTGAAATGATCAAATGAAGCCACTCACTGGTGATAGTGCTTTTGATTGACACATAATGGAAAATAACTTCAGGAATTATCAACCGTGAGCTCAGATATTTGATTAGTGTGGCATAGAACAATTTTCAGGAATGTTTATAATTTCTATTGCAAAACAGTTATACATAAAGAAACCCAAAGCCTGTGGTGTCAGTTCTTTATCTGGTTAAGACAAAGTGAATATGCCACTTTATGAACTTTTTATGTATTGGTTTTATGTAATGTTCTTTAATTAACAGTTGTTTCTTTTAAAATGGGTTCCTTAGTTATGGGTGAGAAAATAAAAGAAAGAATAAAATAAGATTTATTTTTAGTAGTACAACCTAGGTCTTCTGTAAAAGTAGCAAGGATGTGATTTTTTTTTTTAATACGGGGGAAAAGGGCAAACATACTACTTTTTTTTTTTAGGGAGGATGGCTTAGTAAATGTAGGAAGTACAGAATGATAGCTTTGGAGTAATCTTTGCCATTCAATCTAGAAAGCTTAAGAGAAATGATAAGAGTTCATAGTTTAAATTTTTAAAACTTGTATTAGGTTCTCATCAAAGTGTTTTTTTTTAATATTTTATTTATTTATTTTCAGAGAGAGGAGAAGGAAGGGACAATTAGAGGGAGAGAAAAATCAATCAGTTGCCTCTCGAATGCTCCCAGCTGGGGGCCTGGCCTTCAACCCAGGCATGTGCCTTGACAGGGAATCTAACCAGTGGCCTTTCAGTCGGTTAGGGGCACTCAATCCAGAGCAACACCAGCCAGAGCTAAGTGTTTTTAAAGTACCAAAAAGATAAATACAAGGACTCGGGCTTAATGAAAAATGTGTGTATATCAAGGTCCGTAATTGAGCCTTGAGCCTAATAAATTGTGATAAATTTTGTCTTGGGTATTTTAAAATTTTCTCTTTAACCTGTACCTTCTTGAGCAAACAGATTGTGTAGAATAGTGTTTCTCATCCTTGGCAGTCCATTAAAAACACCTGTAAAACTTTGAAAAGTGTCCAAATCTGAGTTGAATGGAAAGGGTTCTGTTATCAGTCTAGGTTTATTTGACTTGTTTCTACTTTCTAATTCTAGTTAAAATGACCTGGGTAAAAGGAATAAACAGTTTATAATCAGGTTGTTCTACTATATTAAAGTAAGTACCAAACAATTCAGTGAAAATTGCCAAAATATTCTTTAAAGGGAGCAGATGTTTTCAGTTCAAAAACACCTTGCTTGATTTTTATCAATAGAACATGGTTTAGGTGATAAGCTTGGGTAAATCATTTAGCATCTCTGAAAATGCCGTCTTTCCTATAAAATAAGGTAGCACTTCCCATGCTTACTTAACTTCCTGTGCTTCCCGTAACTGCCCAGGTAGTTACTTCCCATCACTTTTCTGTCCCTGTCATATATAACAGGAGTGTGATTTGTTTTTCTAATTTAAAAACCTTAAGTAATTATTTCTTAATTACTGTATATGGCATTACATTCTGTATATGGCATTACATTCTGGTTTTGCACTGTGATATTAATATCAATATCTGTATTCAACTTACCAAGTTTTTAAGTCTGTATTGGCTTATTGATAATAAAATATAGTGACTCTGGAGCATTTATCTCAGTACCTGATAGGTGATGGGTATTAAACAAATCCTTTAATCAAATATCTGATTCCAGCTCCCTTTTTTCCTATGGTTATTTATTTATTTATTTTTTGCTTTACTTTAAAATGAAAATTTCCTGATGAAATTTTTATATTGAGTTTTGGGGAGACGTGAAAACAGAACACATTACATAACATGTATGTTATGGATTTGTTTAGTGGTGTACATATATTATCTAATTTGATCCTCATAAAGGTAGGTGTGCATGTTACCACACTTCTCTGGAGAAATTAGTTGGCAGTGTACCCGTTGTCCTTATAGCACTGTTTTATTTGTGTTCTCAAGACCCAGTAGGTCTTCTTTGCTAATTAAAATGTGATCTTAAGTTTGAGAGTGAAAATGTGCATGTTTGTCTTTAAACTCCAAAGGCCAGGAACTCATAATTAAACAGAAATTGAAGAATTGTGAGGCAGAAGAAGGGCCTTTGGAGTCAGGATCAGGGGGTAAAGACTAGGACAAGCTGCCACTGCCCACTGCTCTCCTGGTTGCAAGTCTCATTGGAGCCCTTAGAGCCTAGGAGAGAGGAAGCAAAGGTGTATGTCTGAGAAAGGGGTGTGGGCATGTGCACAGAAGAGTGCTCCTGGTTTTGATTTTTTTAAACTGAAATTCTTCGATGCCTTTTGCGAGGTGCTAATTTTTATAATAATTCAGAACGTGAATTTCTTATGTCAGAAAACCAAGATACTGTCCTTGAATTTTTAGTAGAATACTAGTGTAGTGTGTCATTTTTATTATACTTGAGTTTATATAATAGAATAACATAGTTTAGGTGCATATTTGAACAATTCAGACAAATGTATAGATGTGCATATATTATGATTATATTAACAGAGTCTGGTTTTGTTCAAAGATGAAACCATAATTTGTCCCCTAAATGTAAAAGCTGCCTGGATCTATATCCTCAATCTTTGCAGTCTGTCATCTTCCCTTCTCCTTCCACCTAACACCCAATACTTAAAGAATACGTAGTGAAGTGACATTGATATGGTTCATATCATTTTAAGTACTTGAATTCTTTAAATTAAAGCACACGTTATTCACCAGCAGATAGGTTTCAGAACTCTGGGACAGACCTCAGGAATAGCTGGAGGCTCTAGCATGTAACCTGGCTGTACCAGCTCAAACACAAAGTACTTCAGAGGTATAACAGCAACCACACTCCAGGCCAGGTCCAGGAAGTCAGGCACCGAGGGGATAAAAATCAGGCCATTAGCCCCTGCCTGTATCAGCCTCCTTCGGGCCTTTCCTGTATCTGCAGACACATGGAAAAAGAGAACCTTCCCAAATGGACTGCAATCAGAAGTCTTGCATTGCAGTGAATATAGAAATACCTTTCCTCTTGGAAAGAAAGGTCTTGCTTGCTTACACAAGCATTTACACACACATAACATCTCTGCAGCAGCTATAATCATTTTGACTTGCTTGATAGCCACAAAATTGGTCTTTGATAGGATATGTAAAAAATACTTTGGGGATTTTGCTCACTTGCCTTAGAGTATTCTCAGTATCCACACTTTATGAGTCCACCACACTCTTTCAAAACATTCTTGGCTTTCAATATATTAACATCTGTTGCTGACTTGAGGCTTTCATCACAGACATAGCCACTAATCTTAGTGATTTCAGATCAGTATGTATGGTTATGCTTTTTGAGAACAAAAGAGAATGTCCCCATCACTCAAAGAGAAAAAGCCATTGAGCTTTTCAGGCATAAAAATACTGATCTTCTCTAGGAATATTCCTTTTGTCCTCTGAATTTTTCAAGCTAGACTGTCAACCATTATTGGTATTGCTCGTTTACACAACAATTTTCTAACATAAGATATGAGTACATTCTATTCTCCTAAGAGAGTTTATTAGCTAATGTTTCTCTTTACATAGGCAATTGCTTATTTTTAAGTTCATGTTTCTTTATACTTTTACCTTATTTGTACTTAATTGCAGTTTACTTAATAAACTTTATGTCGATAACTAAAATGAAAAAAGCACGTTATTGATGGCATTTTAGCAATTTTAACAATGTTTAGCATCAAACATTGAAGGAAAGGAAAGAACACTAACATATCCAATGGAAACCAGTGGCATTTCAGGAGGCAGAACATTAAAATTAGAATGTCTTAAGGTTGAATAAGATTTGGTGTTGACCAGCCTCAGTGCCCTGGAGCCTGAAGCAAATAATGATCAGGCTGCTCATGAAAGCTGGCCTGGAGAGGTGGGTCAAGGCATTCACCCTCGGTCTGGGGCTTTCCCACATGGGCCTACACTTGCAATTGGGGATAGCACCAGTTTCAATGTTAGGATAAAGAGAGAGGAACCTATGGGTACCATGTCAGAGAGAGCTCTACAGTCAACGTCAGCTGTAAAGGTATTTGTAAAGGTAAATGAGTTACTATCAAAGACATTTGTTGCCAATACAGTTGAGGCTGCCAAATAGCTTAGATGTAACTAGAGTGTTAACTAAATGGGATCTTTATTATAATGCTTATTAGCAAGCAGAGTAGACTTTACTATGAAATCAAATAGCTTCACTTTTAATAAAAGGCTATATCCTTTCATAATATACTCTTATAGTAAATTCTTATTTTAATTAAACCCCTTGTCACTATATTTATGGCTACTTGGTAAATGATGATGCGGTATAATTGGTACTGCTTGTTTAATTAAAACCTCCTCTCTTTTGTGACTTGCTCCTTTTTAAACTATCATTAATTCAAGCGCTTAATTGCAAAGTAACACTCTGTCCTTTTTTGCCTAAATAATACAGACTGAAATTTGTGAGTGGATATTTATTCCATTATGTGGGAAAGAAAATATCCTTTTTAAAACAAACCCAGTCTTGTAAACTATAAGAGCCTCTTGATTTAAGAAGCTGGTGTGAAAGCCATTTTCTTGAGATTGCCATTTTCTAATATGAAAAAGAGTTTGTAATTTAGGTGATAATTTTAAGCTGGCAAACATTGAAATATTTATTTATATATTTGCAGAAATGTTACCTAAATTTACTGAAGTGAAATGGAATGATTCTCCTTCTAAAAAGAAAGTAAATGTAAGTTAATTCTTCATTTTTACCTTAGAATTTAAAAATTATGTATGTTATAATTTACTAATATAATAGTAGCTTTCTTTACAATTGGCTTTTATTTGATTTATATGAAGAGTTGTCATTCTATTCATTTGTCAACTAAATGTTTAAAGATTTCTCACTAAGAAAGAGTGAATAAAATATTTGGTACATTTTTCTAATAAAACTATTATGTAAGTCAAACAGATAAGTAGAACAAATTATAGAATTTTGGGCTTAATATTGTGAGTCTAAATACAGAGGGCAACCTTGGTGTTTCCCACAGTAGGGTATGCACCGTAAGGTGTAATTTCTCAGAAAATGACACAGGAGAACAGTGGTTGGGGTTTCTAAAGATAAAGCTTACAACTACCAGCTATTTTAGCACCTCTATGTTTGGTTAGTTACTGACATGCTTTGAAAAGGATAGAAGAGACTTTATCTTTTACTAATTCAGGTTATCATAAAAACTTTTAACTCTTTGGTCCCACCCCCAAATATGGAATTACAGGTATATGCCTTTATTAAGTTATAAACTTATTTAACAATACCTAACTAGGTTGGGGAATACAACATAATCACACTGTCTTGAAGGAGCTAGGAGTTATAAGAAGTGATGTAGTCAAACAGTTAAGAGATTGTATGATTAGGGCTACAGTCTACAGTACTTTATATTCATAATTTATTAAGAAAATGAAGAAGGAATATATATTCTTTCTACTGGAATATATGAAGTAGGAATGTACATTCCTACTACTTGAAGGAGGGAATGCTTAAAATAGGTTTTAAATGACAGGGAAAGGGACAAAATGGTTAGTATCTTAACACACAGATGAGGGACCTATTTTTAAAAGAGGTAGTAAGTAGCCTGAAGAGAAGCAAAGGCACAGAAGGTGTGTTCAGGGAAATAGGTGTGAGAGGGTGTTTGTAAGGGATTAGTTGTCTTGGGAAATATAACAGGGAGGGCTTTGAACACCTAGATGAATTGTTAATCATACTTACCTTGGTAGGCAGAAGTGAGCTCTCAACGGCTTTTTTTTTTTTTTTAAGATTTTATTTATTTATCTTTAGAGGGGAAGGGACAGAGAGAGGGAGAGAAACATCAATGTATGGTTGCCTTTTGTGCATCCCCTGCTGGGGGCTGGCCTGCAGGGAACCAGCCTGCAACCCAGGCATGTGCCCTGACTGGGAATCGAACCGCAATGTCTGGTTCGCAGGCCCGAGCTCAATCCACTGAGCTACACCAGCCAGGGCCTCTCAACGGCTTTTGAGTAAGAAGATACAGATGGTCAGTCCTGGCATAGGTACAAGTGAAATTAGAAAATTATATCAAGTTATGAACAAAATTTGGAAGCCTCAATACGTAGCATGTAAAACACTACCTTTATGATCTGTCTGTGGCCAAAATTTTGTAGTGTCACTCACTGAGGGACAAGATGCCCATTTATGATAAAAGAAGGAATATATTTAGGATTATATATGTTTCAGAACATGATTTTTTGCTGATTTAAACCTTAGTATTAGACTTTAAGCTTGGGTCCACCATGTGGGGATAAACATTCCTATGGCATTAGTTTTGTTCAAGTTAACATAGGTATTCAAACTCTTGCCTTGTCTACTCACTACTCTAACCTTTAGAGGAAGGAGAAGGACTGTCATATTAATCTCTGTACTACCTACAACTCAAAATGTAGTAGATAAGGTACCTGGGCTCTTTGATATCATAACTTAGCTTGCCACTGAATTAGATGTGAGATTTTAGGTAAGTTGCTTTTATTATATCTAAGTCTTATTATAAACTATAAATGAGAAACTAATTTTATGAACTCATAGGATTATTGTGAGAATTAAAGCAGTATATAAAGGGCTTAGCCTGGTGCCTTGCATATTGTAAGTATTATACAAGTATTAGCTATTATAATACAGCTTTTAAATAATAGTTAAATGAATACTGAATCAGAATTTGTTGATGGTCTTATGGGTCAAGCAGCATGAAATTTTAACCCCACCTCCCTTTAGGTCTATAATTCAGTAAATAAAAAGAGGTAAAAGAGGGTTTATCTCTAAATTTGGTTTAAAAACCAAGTTTTTATTTTCAGTAGATCACAAGAAAGCACTTGAAGATAAGCAGCACTATTTGATAATATACATGTAAATCTGTGTGTATGTTATCAAACTAAGATTTTAAGCTTTGAGTAACTCTACTTATAAGCTATTAAGATGGCCAGGATATTTAATCTTTCTAAAACTTAGCTTTCTCATTTGTAAAGTAGGAATAATGAAACCTTACAAGTTTGTATGACTTAAAATATCATTCATATCATTTATCATATTTAAAGATAGTATTAAATTATATTTTCCTCATGATTCTATATTCTTAGTTATATTTCCTGTGTGATTAAAACTCTAAAGGTAATTTTATTTAACTTTGTCTTAACAGATACAATCTTCTGTGCAAGATGCAATGTCTTATTCTACTACCCTTGTTCATCAGACTATGCAATCAAGTGGAATACCACCAAATCACCACCCGTTAGCATTTAATCATCCAGAATTAGGACATACACAAAGTGTGAAAAATATTCCACCTTTACAAATCCAGCCTCCCTCAGGTAATAAATTAGGAAGTAAATGACTTCTAAATCTGCATATGAAATGTCGAAGACATCTTAACTGTTACAAATCTGGGATACTGAAAATTGTGACTAGTAAATTTTAGGTCAGAGATAATCACTGAAACACATTGTTAGAAATTATCTGGTTCATACCTAAGGGTACTCATCATATTTGAATGAAAAATTACATGTGCACTTCACATCCAGCTTACTTTCATATACATTATATACATTAGCATGTGTGCCATATATGACTATAAAAAAAACCTGTCACTACCAGAGCCCGGACTACCAAGTTCTGAACAGACTTGCCAAATGGTGCTCTTAATTTCCATGACACTTATGTCTATATAGTTTGGGTAGGTAGGATGGAATAAGGAAAAGATATTTAGAGATTCCATAGTTAGAGAAATGAAATTATATACATTAGAAATATGTTACAGTTAGGAAACTTGGGCTAGAAATACTTGGGTAATGATGGTTCTTATTTACTGGGAACATCTTACAAAGCTGGCTCACTTTTTATGTTGGTAGATTCATTTGACTTTATAAATATCCTATTAGGTTGTCAGAAGTGGAGGTATTGCCTGCCTCAGTAGGGTTCTCCTGGAGGTATATGGCACAAAGGATACTTCTCCAACAGTGATGAACCCAGTCCAGGGAGGGCCTGAACCCTGAGACTCTAATGTATTGGGGCTGGGACAGGAGGCAGGCGTGGGTATTCCTTATGCATGTCTCCATTCCTCTAGCCTGCTTCCGGGTTTCCACTTGGCCTTCCAAGGACAGAAGTTTCTCCAAAGCAAAAGCTTCTAAGCTATTTTTCTGCAGCACAGATTAGGTGGAACAGAGAAGTTTTGATCTTCCTTTATTGATTTCAGTAAAAGCTCCCTACAAATTCTGCGTTTAGTGGAATTCTGCGTATTCCATTTTATGTGTATTTAACTTGAGTTATAGTCTTCATTAAGAAGGTAGAAGGGAATCAAGAGAGAAAATACCTAAGGCAACAATGGAGGGCATCCTAGGAAGAAGAATAACAAAAGATCCAAAGTGTAAGATATTTATTTTTTTCTGAAAAAGGGTTTTCAAGATACTCAGGAGAATCACTGAAGACATAGTGGCTCTAGATCATGAATTACCTTGAATACCAGTGCTACATGTGGCTCTTTTCTTTTGTAAACAAGTAGCTTCAATCAGAAGCATAACAAAATCAGATTTTATATTTAAGAAGAGATTGCTTCTTACCATAGAGAATGGATTGAGATAAAGATGCTCTGACATAGTTGGGACCAAGTAGGAAATCTGAGTGCTATAGTCTAAGAAAGAAATTATGAAGACCAAAAAACTAAGGCAGTAGGTACAAACAAGATGTAGATAATTAGCGATACATTTTTATGACAGAATTGATAGGCTTTGTTAGAATTAATGCCTTACCAGGATTTTATACAATAGCTGGGGTGAAAATAACAAAAAGTGCTCGTTTTGAACATGTGAGATGCTACAGAATATATAATAATTGGAAATATACACTCAGAAATAGGTGGGAACCATAATGTAAGAATTATTTTATGGCCCTGGCTGGTGTGGCTCTGTGGACTGAGTGCCAGTCTGTGGACCAAGATGTTGCTGGTTCAATTCTCAGTGAGGGCACATGACTGGGTTGCAGGCAAGGTCCCCAGTAGAGGGTATGTAAGAGGCAACCGTACATCAATGTTTCTCTCCCTTTCTCCTTCCCTTTTTTTTTCTCTAAAAATGAATAAATAAAATCTTTAAAAAAAAGAATTATTAGTATGTAGAAGCTACTTGAAGCCATGAGTATGAATGAATGAAGATACCCAGGGAACCATGCAGAGCAGGAGGTGAAAGGTCGACAAAATTCTAAGAAACAAAATTTCCTCAATAAAAATAGAAAAAATTTGCTCTGGCTGGTGTGGCTCAGTGAATTGAGTGCCTGCCTGCAAACTGAAAGGTTGCCGGTTTGAATGCTGGTTAGGGCACAACCTGAGTTGTGGGCCAGATCCCCAGTTTGGGGGTGTTGAGAGGCAACCTATTAATGTATCTCTTGCACATAGATGTTCCTCTTCTTCTTTTTATCCCTCCCTTTCCCTCTCTAAAAATAAATAAATAAAATATATTTAAAAAGTAGAAAAAATTAATTGAAAGAAGAGGTAATCAAAGGTAGAAGTGAGAAAATGGTATAACAGAAGTCCAGGAGGAGGAGCATTTAGAAGGCAATTATCAAGAATATGACAGACTACAAAGCATTAAAGTAGGATAAGGAATGAGAGAGGACTAAAACTGGCAATATGAGATTTTTTTGCTTTTGCAAAAGCTTTTTTAGTGGCCTTTGTAATTGGGGCTCAGAAACCACATTATTATAAATTAAGAAATAATGGAATCTGAATGTAATAAACCAGCCTTTCAAGAAGTGTGTTGGTGAAGCAGATAGGAAGGGAAGATACCTGTGTCTTCACCACTAGATTTTTGTTTATTTATTTTTTTGGTAAGACTGGGGTAGGTTGTTTTCTTTTTAGTTTTTGAATCAGATATTTGAACATATTTGAAGTTTGGTCAGAAAGAATCAGTGTAGGGAAAAGTTGCTGTTTTCATTACAATAGAAGAAAAGTGGGGATAGTTTTAAAGAAGTAAGAAAAGAATGAAAAACAACGGAAAGAATGCAGTCAAGATGGTTTTTTAAAAAATCCTATCTATGAAAAGTTAGCCTTTAAATATCTGTCTTCAGTTGGAATCAGTTATTCAATTTGTTTATATATGAGTGTGTAACATAATGTATAAAGGGAAGGTGTGCATGATGTTCTGTTGCACTTACCCAATTTTTCAGAAGCAACGTGGTTTTTGCATTTGCCAACCATAGGTGGCACTATGCCCAAGAGAAATTGCAAATATTTATAAACTATACCATGTATATAGAATTTTACTTCTCTGGAGTTTAATCTTCATTGAAAGAAATTTTGGTTTAAACCTCTACACAATGAAAGTAAAAAAAATTTACTGAAGGTTTCTTTAAAAAAAAAAGATTTTATTTATTTACTTTTAGAGTAGGGGAAGGGAGGGAGAAAGAGAGGAAGAAAAACATCATTGTGTGAGAGATACATGAATCATTTGCCTCTCATAAACTCCCTACTGGGTACCTGGCCCACAACCCAGGCATGTACCCTGACTGGGATTTGAACTGGCAACCCTTTAGTTTGCAGGCTGGTGCTCAATCCACTGAGCCAGGGCCACACCAGCCAGGGCTTTATTAAGATTTAAAAAAAAAAAAACAAACCAATACTTATGCTGTCACATCAATGTGAATGAGCATGGCAAATGAACAGATAAATCAGTTTTCCATCTAGTATCAGAAATAAACAACTGGAATATAAACTAAAAAAATAACACGCCCTGGCCAGGTGGCCCAGTTAATTAGAGTATCATCCCGCGCACCAGAAAGTTCCACCCCTGGTTGGGGAGGGTACAGGAGGCAGCTGGTAGATGTTCCTCTCTCACCTCAATGTTTCTCTCTTTCTCTCCCTTCTTGCTATAAAATCGATAAACATCTTTGGGTGAGGATTAAAAAATGAAGAAATAAAAATAATATGCCCTAAAAGAAGCAAAAATGAAATTCAAGGAGGTGGGGAGGCAAAATAACTTTATCCCTTTGGTAGATATGTTTTACAGAATAAATAAATACGATTTGAGCTGGATATTGGAGAAAATAACACATTTATGTATGTGTATCTAGGATTGGAAGGCATTTTGTATGGTGGAGACAACAAGAATGAAGGTATTTGAGAAACCAATAATTCTATATGAATTGGTTTGGTTGGGTAAATAGAAATAGAAGGAAATTAATTTGGAAATGTAGATCATGTTCAGATCATAAAGAACTTTGCTATCTGGAGACTTTGGACATGATAGAAACAGTATTGTCAGTGGGTAGCCAGTGAAGGTTTTTTGAGCAAAGGATATGCATCAAGGGACCTGATCTGCTATTATGCACGTCTTTGGAGGAATGGGGGATAAAGACCAGAGGAGGAGGAGACTGACTGGACTGTTGCAACAGGAGGGGGGAAATGAAGTAAAGTGACGGAAGGACACAAAAGGGGAAGTTGAAAGAAATGACAAGAGTAGAGTGAGCAGGTCTGCAAAAAATGAATATACACTAAGTTTTAATAACAGAGGAATATAACTTTGGTGGCTCAGAGGATGCCAGCTGGATACTGGTCCAGGGTGATAAACCTGTAACACAGATATGTAAAGAAAGATGAGTTTTGTAGTATTCCGAAGTACCAGAGGGTCATCCAGATGCAAACATTTTTCACAGTTGGAAATTTGACACACCTGCTAGGCTTCTGTGACACTATTCTCTTGACCATACCATACCTGAATATTCCCTCCAGACATCTCTATCTGCCTACCTTTAAACATTGGCAATGCTCTGAGTTACATTCTTAAAATTCTTGTCTTTTTACTTTCCTGCAGGGCTTTCAGTCATGTTCCATAGCATAGGCTTACTTAGCTAGGGATCCGCTGTCATAGCAGTAAGCTTGGAGCAGACTTCCATTTATTTGGGGGTGCAGTGACCTGTACATATACTTCCTGGGTGATCACCTTGGTGTCTGTGACTTCTAGTCTCAGTTTTACAGTTCAGGAGTCCAAGCACCAGCCATGTTTATACAACTCTACTGAACATCTCAAACACAACAGAAACGTGTCAGCCAGCATCTCAAAACTTAATTTCCCTTTTTGAATCCCCACATTTAAAAATCTTCTTTAATTACTGATAATGGCACTGCCCACCACTTACTAATTTAGAGCTAGCAAACAGTCATTTAAAATTTACTTTTACTATACCTGACATATGCTCTTTCTACTTCTTAATAAGATCTGGCTCCAAGCAGAGAAGGAATGTAGTTGCTTACTTATATCTTTCCTCTCTAGTTTTTTTCCATTCCTTGTTGAACTGAGAAAACATAGGTGCATTGGGTCATATAGGAACATACACCTTTAAACTTTGTTCCTTCGTTCACACATTCTTTGACAGTGTTATGTCTCATCCTCCTTTGCTCACTCCTGTCCCTTAATGTTCCTCCCTTCCTCAGGCCTCATTTTCAACCAGTGTGATTTAGCCAGAGGATCTGTCAAGGGGTTGATGGGTGGTAAAAACTTAAATATGTTACTACACTGTGTAAGTGACCAGGATTTTGTGTGCGTGAGTCAGTTAACAAAGGTAACAATTCAGTTTTTCTTTGTTCCCTCTATCATTTTGCCTCTTGAGGTGTAGAGAGACCTGTAGGCAATAACTAGAGAATTGGAATAGAATGATCCAATTAAGTTTCATGTATCAGGATGCACTTGGTAAGAAATGACAGTAAACTCAGCTCAAATGTTTTAAACAATAAGGAATTTTGTTAGTAATATACATAACCAGTGGTCCAAATGTAGGTCTTATTTAGGCATGGTTTAACCAAGGCTCAAGCTCTCTCTCTAGCTACCTTCACCCATAATAAATGAAACATCTGTATGAAAGCTTGACCATTAAAGGATTGCATAGTTTGTTCTCTTCTCCTCAGAGTCAAACCGACCTTTTGCATTTCTTACTCCCATCTCCTTGTTAGCCGTTATAGGTTTCTGGTGTCTTATTTCTTCTATTCTTTGTGTTTCTTTGTTCTCAATTTGGCCACCAGGAGGTGTCTTTCCCTGAAAGCCCTGCATTGGCTTAGGCCTTTTCTTTCCTAAGTAATTCCCTGGTAGTGGGCAGGATTACCATGATTAGCTTGGCCTAAGGAAGGCCCGTCTCTGAGGCTGAGGTCACTCTAATGTTGTCCTGTTAGGACAGATAACATAGATTTTGGTGGGTGAACCTCAATGTCAGCTATACTTTATGGTGACCCCACAGAGAGAGACAGAAATAATAGACGTGGTGAATTTCAAGTGAAAAATGTGTATTTTACAGTGTGATGATTCCCAGCTAGATACTCCAACGTTGAGAAGCATCAAAAAACCAGTCATTTTGTTTTCATAGTTTCTGACCTAGAGAGGGGGGGAAAGTCAAATTCTGGACAAGCAAGATGAAATATCTTGATTATATTCTAAAAATGTGTGCCTCTAGGTGATTCTGAAAAATGCTTGAATGGCCTACCCATGATACGTCAGTCTGTTGATAACACAGCGGTTTTGGAATCTGAAAGTCGAGTTCCTGAGCAGAAGGTAAGATTAATGTTTGAATTTTTTTACTTACAAATATTGAAGGGATTTAAAATTTAATTAGAAGTGGCACAAAAAGTATTTTAAACCCTAACTTGAATGAGACATTGGATTCCTAAACCTAATTTTTGCCAATTTTTTAAGTTATATGTGAACCCTTTCCCACCCTTAGTTCTCATGATCGTATTTAATTATAAATTCTATAATGCTGGTATTGCCAGATATCCTGGTCTTGAAGCATGTTATAAAACTATCTTGTAGATCTAGCTGGTGTAGCTTAGTGGATTGAGCACTAGTGTGCAAACTGAAGGTCATTGGTTTGATTCTTTATCAGGGCACATGCCTGGGTTGCCAGCCAGGTCCTCAGTTGAGGGTGAGCAAGAGGCAACCGCACATTAATGTTTCTCTCCCTCTCTTTTTCTCTCCCTTCTAAAAATAAATAAAACCTTAAAAAAAAAAAAACGAACAACTATCTTTTAGAATCTGTTGTGGGGAATTTCCTACAAGAGTCTTTTGTGCACTTCATGTCAAACCACACACTGATTATTCTTTCAATAGATACTCTAGTAATAATTACTATAAAAAATTAACTGTTTAAGTATTTTGTTATTGATAAGAAACATTTAGAGCCCTGGCTGGTGTAGCTCAGTGGATTGAGCGCGGGCCTGGGAACCAAGCAACCACAGTTCGATTCCCAGTCAGGGCACATGCCTGGGTTGCAGGCCAGTTCTCTCCCTCTCTCCTTCCTTTCCCCTCTAAAGATAAATAAATAAAATCTTTAAAAAAAAAAAAGAAACATTTATAAAGTGCCTTTTCTAATAAATGATATTAATTTAATTTATTGAGTCTTTTTGTTTTAACAACAAAAGTGTTATCCGTCCCCTATTGTTTATGGTGTTGAAAGAAATGATGAGGCTGACATCCTTGTCTTGTTCCTGATCTTAAAGGAAAAGCTTTCAGCCTTTCCTTTGGAGCATGATGTTATCTGTGGGTTTGTCATATGTGGCCTTTATTATGTACATTCCCTCTATACCCATTTTGTTGAGAGTTTTTATTATATGGATGTCGAATTTTGTCATGCTTTTTCTGCATCTATTCACATGATCATATGATTTTTATTCTTCATTTTGCTAATGTGGTGTATAATATCGACTGATTTGAGGATGTTAAACTATCCTTGCATCCCTGAAATAAATCCATCTTGATTATAACATTGCTGAATTTGGCTTACAAATATTTTGTTCAGGATTTTTGCACCTGTGTTCATCCCAGGACATTCATTAGTCTGTAATTTTCTTATCTTGTGGTATCTCTATGTTTTTCATACTGGGGTAATGCTGACTTTGTAAAACAAATTTGAAAGTTCCCTCCTCTACTATTTTTTTTAATATGTTAAAGATTGGCATTAATTTTTAAAACATTTGGTAGAATTCACCAGCAAAACCATCTGGTCCTGGACTTGTTTGCTTGATTACTGACTTAATGTCCTCAACTAGTGATTAGCCTGTCCAGATGTTCTATTTCTTCATGATTCAGTTTGGCAAGGTTGTATGTTTCTAGGCATTATTCATTTTTTCTGGGTTGCCCACTTTTTTGGCATATAATTGTTCCTAGTAGACTCATGATTCTTTGTGTTTCTGTGGCACAGTTCCTCTTTAATTGTGTCATCTTTTATTTTATTTGAGTCTCCTCAAATAAAGGAGAATTTTCTTGGTGAATCTAGCTAACAGTTTGTCTATTTTTTATATGTTTTTTTAAAAAACAAGTTTTTGTTTCATCATCGATCTTTTCTGTTGTCTTTTTAGTCTCTGCTGTTTTTATTTCCACTCTGATCTTTTTATGTCCTTCTACTAACCTTGGGCTTCATTTATTCTTTTTCTAGTTTCTTGAGGTGTGAAGTTAGGTTGTTTATGTGAGATCTTTAGTTTTTTGATATCTAGGCATTTATCACTATCAATGTCTCTCTTAAAACTTTTTGCCACATCTCATATATTTTGGTATGTTGTATTTCCATTACCATTTATCTCAGTGTACTTTATTTCTCTTTTGATTCCTTCTTTTACCCATTGGTTGTTCAGTAGCATGTTGTTTAATTTCTACATATTTGTGGATTCTCCAGTTTTTGTCTTATAATTTCTAGTTTTATGCCATTGTGATCAGGAAAGATACTTCGTATAATTTCAGTTTATTATAACTTCTTTATTGGATAACTTGTGATCTATCCTGGATAATGTGTCAGGTAAACTCAAAGAAAGGCCGTCTAGTTTTGTAATAGCCAATGTCCAGTATTGTAGCCACTGAGCCACATATGGTTATTGAGCCTTTGAAATGTGTATAATGCAACTAAGGAACTAAGTTTTAAAACTTGTTTTTTTAAGTAATTTAAATTTAAAAACATACTCAACTCAGTTATTGGGAAACTTAGGTATGTTTTGAACAGCTCGATTATACATACTTTTTCAACTGTAAATTTTATAAAACTTGATTACAGATCAATTGTTTCTAATTAAAACAGCATTTGAATTGAGATGTGCTATATGTTGAAATACACATCAATTTCAAAGATTTAATATGAAAAAACCAATATCCTCAGTCTTTTTTTAGAGATGCATATTTTTTTTGTGGTTTTTTGAAAGGTTTTTTGTGTGCAGTTTTAGATACATAGAGAAATTGAGAGGAAGGTACAGAAATTTCTCTTATGCCCCTACCCCAGCGTATGCATAGGCTCCTCCCTCATCAACATCCTCGACCAGAGTACTGCATTTGTTACAACTGATGAACCTACATTGACACACCATTATCACCAAAAACTCATAATTTATATTAAGGTGTGCTTTTGGTGTTGTACATTCTGTGGGTGAATATATGATGGCACATATCCAATATTACAGTGTGCAACAGAATATTTCTACTGCTGTAAAAATCTTCTTTGTTCTGCCTGTTTACCCCTTCCTTCCCTCCTTCCCATATCTTTAGTCTTTTATATTAATTGCATGTTAATAATAATGTTTTGGGTATATTTGGTTAAAAAATAAAATATTAAAATTTTACTTAAAGAAACTTTTTATGTGACAGTGGAAGATTTTAAACTCCATATGTTTTTGGTGGGCAGCACTGATGTAGCACACAGCATAGTCTGTTTCAGAACAGTGGTCACAGCCAGTTCATTTATTCCTCATACCAAAGAGAGGAGAAATAGCTGTGCCAGAAGGTTCTGAACAAATAGTGTGCCATACTTATGGCATCGTCTTACTTTGTCTCTTATTGATCCTTTGTATATATTTGCTTTCTTCTTGTAAGAACATAAATATTATCATTATAGTGACAGTTTTTAAATATATTTTGCAGATAGTTATACCCTTATATGTTTTACATTAAACTGAAATAATTGTCAAGCACATTATTTTAATTTGGTTTTAGATGAATAATTGAAAGTAGCTTATTATTTTTTTTTTTACTATAGTAACCTTTTACTTTAGAAGTTCAGTAAAATTACGTGAAGGCTTTGGAGTTTTAATTTGATCTACTACTATATCAAAAAATGCTGTTTTTCCTTCCAAATTATGGTTGACATCTATAGATATAGACTGTGTCAAATATTTGTTTTAGGACATAAAAATCAAGAATGCAGACTCCTGGAAAAGTCTGGGCAAACCAGTCAAAACTTCAGGTGCACGGAAATCCTCAGATGAACTCTTCAACCAATTTAGAAAAGCAGCAATAGAAAAGGAAATAAAAGCTCGAACGCAGGAACTGATACGGAAACATCTGGAACAGAATACAAAGGAAAAAAAAGTATTTCAAGAAAATTGGAGGTTTGTAATTTACCGAATTAAAGGAGGCCTTGGGAGATGTAAACATGTATTTAAAGTATACTAAGTTTCTAAGACCTGGCCAGGTAACTGAGTTGGTTAGAGAGTATTATAGTGATATGCCATGGTTGTGGGTTTGATCCCCAAAGTACGTACAAAAATCAACCAATGAATGCATAAACAAATGGAACAACAAATTGATATTTCTCTTTCTCAAAATCAATCAATAAATTTAAAATATATTAAATTTCTGTTTTGTCAAGTGACTATGATTCAGCTATTTAGCAGAACACAGAATTATCTTTGCAAATGAGTTAATTTGTATTGACTTGTTGATAAGTAGTGATCTGCTTTGAAAGAGATAAAAATAATCAAGTTATTCATTAAGCTATTAAAGAGACTAATATTTCAAAATGATAAATATTGTTTCCATTCTGTGCATAAGAAAATAGTGGTGTACCTTGGTCACAGTTTTCCAAAACCTTTTCATTGTTAAACATAAAAAATAAAAATAAAAAATAATGTTATAATATATGAGAAGGGGTATCTAGAATATTTCTTTGTATTTGTCATTTAATAACATCTTTGTAATAACTTTGAAAGAACTTGAAATCTACTTTGAACTCTACTGTTTCTTTCAGGAACCCTGGCTTCAGTCGAGAACCTTTTTCAAATAAGATGCAGAACAAATGCCTTGGAGAAGAGAAGAAAGAGCATCAGCAGTCATTGGAAGTTCAAGATAAGAGTAAACTCTGGCTTCTCAAAGACCGCAATTTAGCAAGAGAGAAAGAGCAAGAGCGGAGGAGGAGAGAAGCAGTAAGTGAATTTTAGTTTTCTAAATCGAACTAATAAAGGAAAGATTTAACGGACCAGTGTCTTCACATATTAAAAGATGTATTTGAGCCTGGCTGGCATGGCTCAGTGGATTGAGTGTGGCCTACAAACCAAAAGTTTGCCGGTTTGATTCCGAGTCAGGGTATATGCTTGGGTTGCAGGCTGGGGGCATGGGAGAGGCAACCAACCGATGTTTCTCTCCCTCTCTTTCTCCCTCCCTTGCCCTCTTTCTAAAAAGTAAATAAATAAAATATTTAAAAATAAGAATTTAAAAACCTAAGAATGAAATAAAGGTGTATTTGAGGTACTTTTCCAGTGGAGTTAAACCTATTTAGTAAGGATCAGGTTCTAAAATCAAGGCCTTTTTAAATAAAATTTTCATACTCAAAAGATATCCTGGAGCTCTGTAGCATGTAGGTTCAAAACCTGGGTCTGCCATTTACTAGACCTTTTGGTCTTTGTTAGCTATTTAACCTCTCTGTAACTCAATTTGCTCATCACTGAAGTAAAAATAATGCCTATTGTGAAAATAAAATGAATTTAAAAGTATTAAACATGTAGGAAAATACCTGGCACATAGGTAAAGTGATTTATCACTTAACTGTTGCTGCTCTTCTTTTTAAGTATTTTTATTGCTATTACAGTTTTTCCAATTTTTATGCTATTACAGTTTTCCCAATTTTCCCCCCTTTATCCCACCTCCACCCTGCCCCCCCAAACATCTAGCATCCTCCCCACTTAGTTCATGTCCATGGGTTGTACCTGTAAGTTCTTTGAGTCCTCTGTTCCCTATACCATTTTTACCTTTCCCCATCTATTTTATGCCTACTAATTATGCTTCTTCTTCCCTGTACCTTTCCCCCCTATTCCTCCGTTTCGCTGAGCAGTTCGTTGTTTTTGGACTCCATATTGTCAATTTTCTGTGTGGTTTGGTTGCATTTATTGTTGTTAAAACTTCGTTGTTTTAGGTTTGGTTGTGCAAGGATGCAAAGTGTTTCCACCTACCCCTCCATCTTGGCGGAAGTCTCATGGTCTATGTTTTTTAATGGTTTTTTTTTTTTTTTTGGAGCTCTTTATTAAAAGTTCACTAGTTCTTTACTAGAAGTCTTTCCCTAGTGACCCAGGGTCTTTCCTGTTGGTACTCACATGGCCCGATTTCAGTCACCTGTAGTGATTTCTCAGCAACCAACTTATTACCTAACAACCCAACTAGGTAACCTGATAAAATTTCTAATGTCCTAGACACCTTTCTAGAAGTTGACTAGATGCCGAACTCACTGAAACTTGACTAGGTTTGCCATATGTAGCAGCTTGCTAACTATCATTCTTGGCAACCTGGACTCTTATGTTGCTGCTACCTAACAAATCCATACTCTTAAAAACCTGCAACAACTTAAACCCTAGTAGAGCTCACCTCATGCCAGTTCCTTTCACCAAGTTTTTTTATCTTAATTTTCAGTGGTCAAAGTATATATTGGGACCACTGAGAAAGGAATGTCCAGGTTATAGAGTCAGCTGCAGAGTGCTAATATTCAAATCATGGTATCTGTTAATTGGTGTAAGTTTCATTATAATATTCTTAGGTGTTTGCATTATGTTTGGATACTTATACGGGTATCACATAGTATTTCAACTAGGGCAACACATCCAACTCTCATGTTGGAGGTTAAAACAGAGCTTTAGGAACTGTCTGGATCTGGGCAGATGTGGGGCATTCTGAGAGCTGGCATTAAGAAAGTAGCCTTGAGTTAAGATGTAAGAAATTATCTTTCTTTTTCTTTTTCTTTTTTTTTTTTTTTTTGGTCTCTAAGGCATATTTAAAGAAATTTTTGCAGTTTATAAGAGTCAACACGTAACTTTTTATACCCTTTTGGTAGATAAGTAAGAATTTCAAATCTTTTCCCAGATAGCCAATGAGAGCACTGGTTCCCACCTGGGAAGTCAACCAACTAGTTACAGATTGATGATTTTACCCACCACTCTGGACTGTTACAGTTTATTGATAAAAAATATTTTTGAACCTTCATAGTTGGTATCATTTCAGATGCCAGAGAATATTTAACATGTGTATCACAGGGGCATTTAGAGAAGGCTCCAAAATATAGTAAGCATTTGTTTCCTTTATCTTAATTAGCCTTTTCTTTGCTTTAGCTTAATTTTTTTTTTAGAATTTATTTATTTATCTTTAGAGGGGAAGGGAAGGAGAGAGGGAGAAAAATATCAGTGTATGGTTGCCTCTCATGCATCCCCTGCTGGGAACTGACCTGCAACCCAGGCATGTGCCCTGACTGGGAATCAAACCGCGATACTCTGGTTTGCAGGCCCGCGCTCAATCCACTGAGCTACACCAGCCAGGGCTGCTTTAGCTTATTTTTAATGGCTCCTTATCATTTAATTAATAAAAAAACATACTGAGTGTTCTACATGCAATCTGGTTTGATCTTCATAAATACCTACACATAAAATAAACTTGGTTAAATATTTTACCTCATGTTATATAGTTATTAAGTAGCAGAATCAAGGAAAGTCTATAGCTTTAACATATAGTGTTCCTACATAAGTAACATACTGGTTCACTCAGAAAATACCAGTAATTTGATGTGTCTAGCACTATGTTGCTTACAGAGATATATGAAATAATGTAATCTCAGTTCTTGTTCTTATTAATACCCACTTTGCCAACACTGAGAGTTTTCTCTCACTTGGCAAGAAAGGTTAAATGTGTTCTTTGTGTTATAAGTTTTGATTTTTATCAAATACAAAATACTTTAACAAATGAGTATGTAAATAGAAATTAAAATTATACAAATTAATTATGTTGAATAACTTGTATTGATATTATATGATGTGTTCCAAATTCTGCATAATAATGTTTATATGGATGTAACGAAGGGATAAAATTTTAAAGTAGCATTTAAACTTTTCTTCTTTTTTTACAGATGGCTGGTACCATTGATATGAATCTTCAGAGTGACATTATGACAATGTTTGAAAACAACTTTGATTAAAACTCAGTTTTTAAATCAACCATCAACTTAAAATGAATGATATAAAATATTAAAATGCATATGATAAAATGATTGCTTTCAAACACCAAGATACCAATCTTAATGTTGTATTTTGACTGCTCTAAAATGATTAAACAATTTATGCTTAAATTTCTTAATAGGTATATGTTCATTTTTTAATGACATAATTATAGGAAATTTTATATTAGGTTCCTAAAATTGAATAAATACCCAGGTATTATTCATTTTACTAGTAATTGTCTGTATGTATTGTAGGCCTTAGCAATGAAAATCCAAAAATAAAAAGTCTCTGCTTGTTTAAAAATGAAGAACATAGAAAGGTGTATGAAAAACATAGTTTATACAGAGTTTTAACTTTTAAAAATATTTGTCTGCCTTCAAAAATATTTAGAACCTCTAACAAATAATTCTTGGTTTCTTTCATTGCCAGGTTACATAAGATTTGCTGCTGATTATATATTCAAAATTTATATTGAAATTTAGTTTAAGGAAAATATCACCTGTGGTTTGAAAGATGTTAAATTTAAGGCAAAATAACAGTAAATATTAATTATGTATGTAAGTCTCTATAGGAAACGTATACAGCATTTCTTAACATATATGTGATAGCAATGAATGTTTAAATCTCATAGTTTTGTAATTTAAATCTGTAAAATAGTTTTCATCATTTTCAAGTTGCTATTATGTATAAATCATGTGTTTCATCTCCATGTCTTTTAAAATTTTGGACCCTTGAAGAGTAACACAATTCAGGCACTATTCTGATACCATCTAAAGCAGGGGTATCCAACCTTTTGGCATCTCTGCACCACACTGGAAAAAAGAGTTGTCTTGGGCCACATATTAAATACATTTTAATACATAGTCAAAAAATAATCTCATAACGTTTTGAGTAAATTTACGATTTTGTGTTGGGCTGCACTCACAGCCACCCTGGGCTGCAAGCAGTCCTCAGCCCGCAGGTTGGACACCCCTGATTAAAAATCTGCATGTATCATAGAGAGAAAGAAAAAAAGTTTGCTTGTTCATTTTTAAAATAATCAGTATATTTTTGGAAACATCTTTAAACCATCATCTATTTAATAAACACAATTAACTCATGGCTAAAATGATGGTGATACCTTCACAAAACACAGCCGGCATTAAAGTAATAGTCATACCTATTCAACTAAATCTATATTTAACCAAGAAATTAATATGTATATACTAACAGTATACATTGTTATTTTTCTAAAAGATCACATAGATACAGATGAGGTATATCTATATATAATCTGTATATGTGTGTGTATATAGATTAGAAAGATGCAACAGGTCAGAGGGATTCAATGTAAGAAAGACTGGACAGGCCATTGCTGGCTTTCATGATGGAAGGGGAGTGCAGGAGACCCCTAGAAACTGGAAAAAAGCAAGAAAACAGATGTTCTCACAGCCTCCAGAAAAGAGCACAGCCCTGCGAACACCTTGAGTTTAATCTAGTGAGAATCATTTTGGACTTCTGACCTCCAGAACCTACGAGATAATAGGTTGCTGTTGTTTTAAGCCACTAAATTTGAAGAAGCAATCCAACATGGAGTCCTTCCAGAAGATAAATTTGACTGAAAAGCTATGGCGCAGTTCCACAGGGAAGACGACAAAAAAAAAAAAAAAAAAAAAAAAAAAACCCAAACAGGAAAGAAAGATGCATCAGAATAGTGGTTACCTTTAGTTCATGGAATTACAGGGTTTCATTTCATTTTCTTTACACTTCTCAGCATTTTGTGGTTCTTCTTTAATATCAATTATGTTATACTTTTAAGATCTAGGAAATTTTCCACTTTGAAGAGAAAAATGAGAATAGTAAATAAGAATTTACTTCTGTCAAATGCACCTACTCAGCCTTTCAATTGTCTTTAATTAATAAAATTGATCAATAAGTTATCTTTGTCCTGTAGATCTTAAAAAAGAAAGTTCAGCTTTATGAACATATCCTTTTATATTAAAAAAGTAATTGCTTTCTTGAGGTTTTCCTATAAACACTGGAGTAGCCCTTAGAGAGCTATGATGTGGTTATTAGCGTTTACTTTAACCAGTTTTAACCACTGCTCAGTCTGCAAGGGGCCTGGCCCACTGTACATAGGTGCTCAATACACTTGGTAGGTGGTTGAAGTCAGCTCAGCAGAAAGAAATGTCAATGTAGAACATGCATTATTTTTCAGTAAAGATTGTTTGGCTTCTCCTAACTTCTTACAATGGAGTTTACTTTTGTTAATTTCATGCGTGAAATATTGAATGCAAGTTAGCCTTCAACCAAAGCCTGGTTTACCAAGGATCCCTTTCTGTCCCCATCAACGTTTCCTGCACGATCAACTTTTTTGCTTGTTTCTTCCCTCTTTTTGTTCTTTTGTTGTTCCGGAAGTATGGTCCCTGGACCATCTGTCTCAGCATCCTGTGGGGATGCTTTAGAAGTGCAAATTCTCAAACTCCAGACTTAGTAAATCAGAAACTCTGGGGTATCGGGTCCAGCAGTCTGTATAGCTGAACAAGCCCCACAAGGCTGAGAGCCACTGCTGTGATGGAACCAGCTCTCTCTGGCAGACTTTCATTGACGTGCCTGTTTTCCAGGAATGTTTTTCTTACTTTTGGAGTTACACTTACAGACCGTTCTTTCTCCTCCCTAAATACTCCAATTTTATGTTTTTCACGATCACAGGACTTTATCACCCATAGTCATTTGCCATCCCTGGTTCACTACTTGTTCCCCAGAGATTTTGGTCTGTTTCACTGTCACTCTCTAAACACTTCTGAAACTCTTGATTTCTCTACTAATGACCTTTACATCAATCTTAGCTACTCTTTTATCATTACCAACACCTAAAACCTGTTCTTAGTCGCCATGTAAAATGCCCTAGTCTTTCACTACAACCTCCTCTTTTCCTAGCTTACTCCCCCGACTCCAGCAATCATATCCTAGTGCCTTCTCACAGCTGCTCTCTCTTCAATCCTTATTCCAAGTTTGTAGTATATTATTATTTATAATCATTCCCTTGCGTACACTCTCCATTCCACTGCTCTTTTCCTGGTTGCAGTCACTTGGCCAAACTCGAATCCTTATTAAATCTGACTGCCTGCTTTGCACTAATGTAGCTAATTGTTAGAGAAAAACATGTAACCATGATAACCAGTCTCAAAATCCATGAGCATAATCTCAGCTTAGTCATAGCTGCCCAGAAATCTTTGCATTTCCGTGGTCCATTCACTTTCCCTGGGCAGTCATTTTACTTCTCCATTGTGTTCAGATCTCCAACCAAAACCAACCCCCCTTCATCAATCTATGATCTACAATTTTTTAATGCTGGAAAGGGTAAGAGGTAATTTTTATTTTGGGGTACATTTTTCTTTTTTAAAATATATTTTTTTGATTATGCCATTAAAGTTGTCCTATTCCCCCCTTCATTCCCCTCCACCCTGCACACCCCTCCCCCACCATTCCCCCCTTTCATTTATGTCCATGCATTCTGTGTTTAGAATTATGTATTTAGAATTCTAAATTCTAAATACAGAATTCTAAATCTAATTCTAAATACAGAATTCTAATTCTAAATCTAAATTCCTTTAGATTCTGTATTTCCCATACTATTCTTGCCCTCCCCCCTATCTATTTTCTACCTACCTTCTATGCTACTTATTCTCTGTACCTTTTCTCCCCTTCTCCTCCTCCCACTCCCCTGTTGCTAACCCTCCATGTTATCTCCATTTCTATGGTTCTGCTCCTGATCCAGCTGTCCTCTTAGTTTACCTTTATTTTAGGTGTGGTTGTTAATAACTGTGAGTTTGCTGCCCTTTTACTGTTCAAAATTTTTATCTTCTTTTTCTTAGGTAAGTCCCTTTGACATTTCATATAATAAGGGCTTGGTGATGAGGAACTCCTTGAACTTGACCTTATCTGAGAAGCACTTTATCTGCCCTTCCATTCTAAATGAAAGCTTTGCTGGATAGAGCAATCTTGGTTGTAGGTCTTTGGATTTCATGACTTGGAATACTTCTTTCCAGCCCCTTCTTGCCTCTAAGGTCTCTTTTGAGAAATCCGCTGACAGCCTGATGGGGACTCCTTTGTAGGTGACTGTCCCCTTATCTCTTGCTGCTTCTAGGATTCTCTCCTTCATTTGAATCTTGGCTAATGTAATTATGATGTGCCTTGGTGTGTTCCTTCTTGGGTCCAACTTCTTTGGGACTCTCTGAGCTTCCTGGATTTCCTGGAAGTCTATTTCCTTTGCCAGATTGGGGAAGTTCTCCTTTATTATTTGTTCAAATAAGTTTTCCACTGGTGGCTATGCCTTTCCCCCTTCTGGTACCCCTATAATTCGGATGTTGGAGCATTTAAAGATGTCCTGGAGGTTCCTAAGACTCTCCTCATTTCTTTGAATTCTTGCTTCTTGACTCTTTTCTGTTTGGCCGTTATTTGCTTTCTTCTGGTCCACTCCATTGATTTGAGTCCCAGTTTCCTTTTCATGGCTATTGGTGTCCTGTGCAATTCCATTCATTTCAATTCGTTTTGCCTTCATATATTTGTCTAATTTGTGGCTATAATCAACCAGTTCTGTGAGGATCCGGATGACCAGTGTTTTAAACTGTGCATCTGAGAGATTTGCTATTTCTTCATCGCTTAGATTTATAGGCTCTGGGGCTTTGAGATCTTCTTGAGCCATTTTTGGTCTGTTCGCGCCCTTTAAGTGTGAGGAGCGGAGCCCTGGACTCCCAGGTCACTGGGTTGTGACGCTGTACGTGGAGGCAGGGTCAGAGCAGGGAAATGGTGGCGCCCTCCACTGCCGCTTGCCGTGGGGACCTGCCGGCCCTAGTCCAACCGCCCACTCCCTCGCCTGTCCACCCGCGCACAAATGCACGACCACAGTCAACACGCAGTCGTGGTCCCCCGCTGTCTCCCCCACAGTTGCTCGCCTGGTCGCTTGCTCAGTCGCTCACTAGGTCCAACCCTGTGCCTGGATTCCGCACTCCTGGATTCCGCGCGCCTGAGTCCGTCTGACGGAGTTTTCCTGTGCAACCCCGCTTCACCAGCCGCTGGTTTCGCCCCTTACCGGTCAGGCTGAAGAATTTATTGTTAACGGACTTCCAAAAAGTTCAGTTTCCCGTGTTCTGGCTGTGTTTTCTGTTGCTAATATTTAGTTGTCTGTAAACTTGGTTGTGTGAGAAGGCACGGCACATCCACCTATGTCTCCATCTTGGCGGAAGTCCCTTTATCTCCCAATTCTGAAAACTCAGGGAATTCGGGCTTCTGCTTGGAAATCTAGAAAGCTGAAAAAAGCATTTCTCCCACCATTACAACAAATTTAAAAGCAAGACAGTCTTTAAAGTCACTTCTCTTAAAATAATCTGAGGGCTGAGATCGCAAGGTAACCAAATTACCTGAGATCTAAGAAAAGACAAACACATCAGAGTAGAAACAGGACATAAGTACCGACTTACCTGAGGCAGATACCACCAAATGCTATATAACCTGGTAACAACCACAAAAAATCATCTAAAAGTTGTATCAAATTGCTAGAGGCTGGGTATGGACTAGCTTGAGAAGATAGACCCCTTGGGAGCACAAGAGATATCTGCAACCACACGCAGGCTCTTCTCCACAGACCTCATTTGGTACTTTACAAGAAAGATTTGGGGTACAGGATGAGGGTTCTGAGGCGGCCATCCCCCTGATGCTGGCGTGAAGGAGAACAGCCACAGATGTAAAAAAAAGCAAACTGTCCTTCCTCCCTCCATCCTTCTCCCCTATCTTCCCAACACATACAAACCTCAAGGGGCAGGAACAGCAAACCTTATCACCTTTCGGGCATTAATGAAGACCTACAGCAGCTGGGGGAAGGAAATAGAAATACTAAGCCTTCTAGTCCTAGGAGAGGGGCAGGAAATATATCATAGGTGCAGACTGCCAGAGACACCTTGCCACTGCGGGCAGGGAAGGATTATTAAGAAGCCTCCACTCTGATATCCAAGGACATACTGCCTGCTTAGGAGGCTGCCTTAGGACAGCAGAGAATGCCCCTCTGTTGTCTGCACTTCCTACTGATGCGGGAAGCTTTGAAGAACCTTTGTTTACCCGAACCCCAAGCACCCTGGGAAGAGCAATAGGGCCGTTTGGGAAAGCAAACAGCAGGGTGTTCACAATGGCTAAGATTAGACCCCCCGCAGTCAGAACTAATCTCCGCATTTAGCCTTTGTACTCTGCTTCTGCCACGTAGGTATAGGGAGCCCTATAGCTAGAACTAACTTCCGCCTTCCGCTTCTGTATCCTGCTTTGCTACGTAGACAGGAAGACCCCACAGACTATATAAACCCCAAGATTCCTTTGTTTGGGGCCTAGAATTTGGAGACTGACTCCTCTGGGCCCATGCACGTAATAAACTTCTTGTGTTTTCCACTATTTCCTTTTGGTGTGAGTTTCTTCCCGAAACACTACCACCAGTAACAAGTAAAAGCAGTCAAAGAAGAATATATTAGACTGGCACACAAGTACATAAAGATGTTCAACATTAGTCATTAGGGAAACGAAAATTTAAATTTCTACATACTTCTTAGAATGGCTAAAATTAAAGATTTCTTTGACAATCCCCAGTGCTTGCAAGAATATATATAACTTAACCATAACTCTCACACATTGTCCATGGAAACTCAAAATCGTACATCCACTTTGGAAACCAGTTTGTCAGTTTCTCATAAAGCAGACTTGCCACCTGACCCAGCAATCTCATTTCTAAGTATTTACTAAAGTGAAATGGAAACTTAGAGTCACACACACATACTTTTATGTGAATGTTTATAGTGGCTCCATTCATAACCACCAAAACTGGAAGAAAGGAACAGATAAACCGTATGGTACATCCATTCAATGAGACATTAATGAGCAGTAAAAGAGGAACAATAGACATAACAGCACAGTTGAATCTCAGAGCATAATGTTAAGTGTAAGTTGTCAAAAACAAAAGGTTACATACTATATGATTTCATTTATACAATATTCTTGTAAAGGAAAAAGAGGGGCAGAGAACAGACCAGGGCTTTCCAGACTTGACTATGACTTTGAACTAAATGGGGACTATCAACACCTTTAGAGGTGTTAGGAATAAAGTTATAATATCTGTTGCATAGTATGAAAACCAGTTACTCCCCTCGCCTTCCACGCCCCATAATTTTATGGTCCTAATAGAGTTCCAAGTGGGATGGACGACGAGAGGATTCGAACTGCGGTCAAAACAAGACTGGCGCTTCCCTCCCCGTAACCGGAGCTGTTTGAGTCTCGCCTCCAGTTCTTCACAGTGCGGAGGTGGGATTTCACCTTGTGGAGGAGGACCGGGTCTCCGCCCTTGCTTAGCCCCGAGCGGACCTCGGACCTCGCAGTCTGGAAGCGGCAGCTCCCGAGCGCGCGCGCGTTGAGTGCTGAAGCCGAAGGTTGAGACTCGGCCGCCGGCCGGGCGCGCGTGCAGTGCTGGAGCTGGAGGCAGACACTCGGCCCGCCGGCCGGGCGCGGCGGCTGCCGGGCGGCCGGCGGGGAGGTGCGCGCGGAGCGAGCGACCGCAGACGGACGCGAGGGTGGGCAGGCCTGACGCGCCACTGGGCTCCCCGCCTCGCTCCAGCGCCTCAGACGCGCGGGGGGCGCCGCCGCTGCCTGATGGCGAGGCTCCGGGATTGCCTGCCCCGCCTGATGGTCACAATGAGGTCTTTTCTGTTCTGGTCCCTGATTTATTGCTACTGCGGGCTCTGCGCCTCCATCTACCTGCTCAAACTTTTGTGGAACATCGGCCAGGGACCTGCGCAGACCTTTCGGAGGGTTGCCCGGAAACACCCTCCCCCGAGCTTGAACGACCGTTCCTTGGGGACCCACTGCTACGTGAAGATCAAGGTGAAGGTCTGCGCCAGCTCGGCGTTGTCAGGAGGGAACGGGGGCAGTGAGAGCCGAGGGCGTGGGCTGCTCCTTCCCTGATGCCCGGCCTAGCGTCCCCCTGTGTGTCGGCTCGCAGGGCGCGCGGCAGGGACGGCCGAGATGCCGGGGGAGCAAGAGAGGCCCGAGAGGTGTCGGGACTGTTGGTGTGTTAACGTTCCCCGTTTGTTCTGGGGAGGAGGGTAGGAGAAGGAAGAGGTGTGGGAAGAGAGGGAAGGAGAAAGAAGGAGAGAGGGAGGGGGAGAGAGAGAGGTTACATGGAGTTTCTGTAGTCCTATTATATTAGTGTCCCACCGTCCACCACAATCCAGAATAATTCGCTCCCATTCCTAATGTAAGGGGAAGCTGTCTCCGGTCACCTTTTTGCCCTTTGGAGCTCAGATCGGCTGTAGGGAATGGTGAGCCCTACTGCCTCAGAAGTCTGCCCAAATATTAGAGATTGAGAGAGTGAAGAGAGTAAGTCATCAGAAACCAGAGTTTATTTAAGTTAGCAGAATGGAGCATTCACAGATGACCTATGCAATATGAAATCGTAAATAAATGGTGTGTATTTGTGGAGAAGGAAGCCTACTTTTGAAGTTAGAGACCACAGGAATGGGATCAAAAGTAAAGGTCAGGCATGCAAGCAGATTCTTTAACTGTCCATGCTTGTGTCCCAAGCTTCCTCACAGCCCACAGATACTCTGTTTCCTGCGACCCTTTGTGATGCAGCCTGTAGTTTGACTCACAGGCCGTTCAAAACGAGCTTCACAGGAGGGTACATTTATGTCACCAAGTGGGGGATTCCTATTTAGGAGCTAGACTGTCCAGCAGCTAGAGTTCAAAAGACCAGGGGATATGCCTTTCTTACCTTTATTCAGCCTGGGATTGATATGAGAATTAAATGAGTTAATATTTGTGAAACAACAGCAACAAAAAAGAACAGTGTCTGGCACATACTAGTGCCATAGTAGGTAAAAAAAAAAAAAAAAAGCAATTTCTTCAACTAAATCCAATGAAGTGCCCACAGTACTTTATCTTCCAAGACTTAATGCCAATAAGTTATTGAACTAGGAAGGCATTCTGTAGTTGAGGGCAAAGTGAGATTTGTTGTCTTCATCCAGTATGAGGAGAAAAAAACTATTAAAAAAATCATCTGAAGTTCCCCATAATGCCTTTCTTCTTTCTCACTGATCAGCTAAAGAGTTTCCCAGGAGACAGAACCAAGGAATAAAAAGAACGTTGTCCTGGGAAGTAGGACTTGATGGGAGTTCTACTCACAGACCTACTCCCAACCAACCTCATCATCTGTGTTAACATATTTGGGCCTCACTTTCTAAGTCTGTAAATATGATGGCATTGGATCAGATGGCCTTTAAGATTTTTTTTCACATCTAAACACTCAATTGCTTGGGTAACCCAAGATAAAACCCAGTGTCCATGCTCACCTTTTGGTTCTTGGGTTTTTTCCTCATTTTTTCCCAGAGTTTTTGATTCTCTTTCTTGCTTTTCTTCTTCTTTTTTTTTTTTTACCAGTTTCCTCCCTTCAGTTTCCTCTATCTGCTGTATTCCTGACTCATCTCCATGCTTTTTATTTCCCTTGGGCAGTCTTGTCTCCCACATGCAGATGAAGTCTTGAACACTCGGCATTCTGCTGTTACAAATACACTGATGTGACGTGAGGAGCAGGCAGCGAAGGGAACTGTACATGCAAACCTCAAAATAATGTGGGAAGGGAGGAACTAAAAATATGAAAAGGAGGTGTGAATCATATAACTGATGGCACAGCTCTCGACAGGCAAGCTGAGAAAAGTACATGGCCAGGAGGTAAACATGGAAGGAATATTAATTCAGATCAGAATTATTTACATGTCCTGTAGAATTTGAATGAAATGAAATGTGACACAGCAGTAAGAGAAAAGTCACAAATTGTGACATTGTTTCAGAAGCTCATGATATACAAATTGCCCTTGTATGAAGAAGAAAGGCAGGTACTATAAAGGGAATGTTGACAAAAGTAAACCTGTTGGTTTACCCTCCTGATAAATCATGAAGGTTTTTCTTCTTGAAAAATTAATGTTTATCTTATTTTTTATTATTAAAAATAATACAAGTGAGTTTTTAATGAAATGGAAATACTAAATGTACTGCTTTGACAATCAACACAAATCAGCACTAAAATTGTATGCCCTCTATTTACTATGGCAGGATTCGGGGTTAAGATTTCATTATGTTGCTGCTGGAGAAAGAGGCAAACCACTTATGCTGCTACTTCATGGATTTCCAGAATTCTGGTAAACTCACCAATTAACTTCTTCATTTGCATTTAAGACTTTGCTTATCAGAGTGTTATATATACTGAGACTTTACTAATAAGTGCTTTGAGGGTGCTAGCACACTAGGCATTAAAGAAAAGAATGGAGGATGGCAAAAACCCATCTATTTCATCAGTTTTTCAGAGCAAAAATTCTATGGATCCCTCTCTTGAGAAGACACTCTCCACATAAAGATTTTTTTCCACTCTACATTTAGCTGCATAAGTAAACATAAATCTTTTTCATGACAAACTTTTATTTTATTCATCTGGAGACAACTTAATTAGGTGGTAAACAGCCCATGAAAATCAACATATAGGGTTGTTTAGGGTTGTTTAGTGGAGTGCTTGACATAATTGGCTCACAATAAAAGGTAAGTCTGAAGCATTAGTCCAATCTGCATAAAGTAACATGGGCGGTGAATTTTGGCTCAGTCACTTAATTGCTTGCAGAGTCATGAGGATAAAGAAAGTCAAAACGTGTGAAAGACCTTTCATATGGCCCCAGTGAGTACTCACGAAGTGTCCATTTTTTTCTTCATTCCCATTCACTCAGTGTGGAGATCCGTGTGCCAGTACTAACATTCTCAATGCATTTGTTAATAAAGTACCTTTTATTCATAAAATATTAGAGTATATCAAGGTAATACCTATTCCAGAGCTAGGTACCTTTTAAATCAGGACTTTGGATGACACAAAACCTTTAAAATTCTGCCCTGCCTGGTGTGGCTCAGTGGATCAAGTGCCAGCCTGCGAACCAAAGAGTTGCTGGTTTAATTCCCAGTCAGGGCACATGCCTGGGTTGCAGGCCAGGACCCCGGTGGGGGGCGTGTGAGAGGCAGCCACACATGGATGTTTCCTTCTTTTCCCCTATCTCTAAAAATAAATGAAATATTTTTTTAAAAACCTTTAAAACTCTAGAGGAGGTGAATGTATAATTGTGGGATTCTAAGTGGTAAGAGTAATAGTAAGAGAGCAATTTGGGGATGGGGCATTTCCTGAGACCTTTAAAAATCAATTTCCTGATTCTGGCAGAAGATGATGATGTTGATAAGGATAGTTAACATTTACTGAGCATTTACTCTGTACCAGGGGCTCTTCTACATGTTTTACATGTATTATGTCATTTAAGCCTTATAGCTACCCTCCAAAATTGCCAGCGCCAGAAAGTAAGGCTCACCTTGTTCTTGAACTTTACAGCTGATCTCTGCTGTTGGTCCTCAGTATGTAGAAAGAATGGTACATGGATTTTTACCCTTCAAATTTCACACCTTATGGAAACATCCAAAAGGGTATTAAAAGCCAACAATATAATGATATCTTACTATAATATTTTATGCCATCATTCTGAATACAGTTCATGCTGTGAATTGGGGGTTGATATTTAACTTTTTAGAAAGAAAAAAAATTTTTTTTTTACTTTTTTTAATTGATTATGCTGTTACAGTTGTTCTATTCCCCCTTTATTCCCCTCCACCCTACCCCCCATCCCCACCATCACCCCCCCCTTTAGTTTATGACCATGTGTCTCAAGTCCTTTAGATTCTATATTTCCCATGCTATTCTTGCCCCCCCATCTATTTTCTATCTACTGTCTATGCTACTTATTTTCTGTACCTTCTCCCCCCTTCTCCTCCTCCCACTCCCCTGTTGCTAACCCTCCACAGATCTTCATTTCTATGTTTCCACTCCTGATCTAGCTGTCCTTTTAGTTTGCTTTTGTTTTAGGTGTGGTTGTTAATAACTGTGAGTTTGTTGTCCTTTCACTGTTCATGTTTCTTTAACTTCTTTTTCTTAGATAAGTCCCTTTAACATTTCATATAATAAGGGCTTGGTGATGATGAACTCCTTGAATTTGATCTTATCTGAGAAGCACCTTATCTGTCCTTCCATTTTAAATGAAAGTTTTGCTGGATAGAGCAATCTTGGTTGTAGGTCTTTAGATTTCATGACTTGGAATACCTCTTTCCAGCCCCTTCTTGCCTGTAAGGTCTCTTTTGAGAAATCCGCTGACAGTCTGATGGGGACTCCTTTGTAGGTGACTGTCCCCTTAGCTCTTGCTGCTTCTAGGATTCTCTCCTTCATTTTAATCTTGGCTAATGTAATTACGATGTGCCTTGGTGTGTTTCTTCTTGGGTCCAACTTCTTTGGTACTCTCTGAGCTTCCTGGATTTCCTGGAAGTCTATTTCCTTTGCCAGATTGGGGAAATTCTCCTTTATTATTTGTTCAAATAAGTTTTCCACTGGTGGCTGTGCCTTTCCCCCTTCTGGTACCCCTATAATTCGGATGTTGGAGCGTTTAAAGATGTCCTGGAGGTTCCTAAGACTCTCCTCATTTCTTTGAATTCTTGCTTCTTGACTCTTTTCTGTTTGGCCATTATTTGCTTTCTTCTGGTCCACTCCATTGATTTGAGTCCCAGTTTCCTTTTCATGGCTATTGGTGTCCTGTGCAATTCCATTCATTTCAATGAGTTTCGCCTTCATATATTTGTCTAATTTGTCCGTATAATCAACCAGTTCTGTGAGGATCCTAATCACCAATTTTTTAAACTGTGCGTCTGTGAGTTTTGCTATTTCTTTATCGCTTAGATTTATTTCTGGGGCTCTGAGATCCTCCTGCGCCATTCTTGGTCTGTTCCGGCCCTTTAAGTGTGAGAAGCCGGCGGCTTGGATTCCCAGGTTGCTGGGTTGTGACGCTGTATGTGGGGGCGTGGCCAGAGCGGGGAAATGGCGACCCCCTCTGCTGCTTCTCACAGCTGGGTGCGGAGGAGCAGTGCCGTAGGTGGTTCACCTGGGCCGGGCCACTCAGAGTCGCTGGGTTATGACGCTGTATGTGGAGGTGGGGTCAGAGCAGGGAAATGGCGGCGCCCTCCACTGCCGTGGGGACCTGCCGGTCCGGTCCAACCGCCCACTTCCTCGCCTGTCCACCCTCGCACAAATGCGCGACCTCAGTCAACACGCAGCCCCGGGCCCGGCTGTCTCCCCCGCGGTCGCTCGCCTGGTTGCTCGCTGGGTCGCTCACTAGGTCCGACCCTGCGCCTGGATTCCGCGGGCCTGAGTGTGTCTGACTGAGACCTCCTGTGCAACCCTGCTCCGCCAGCCGCTGGTTTCGCCCCTTTACCTGTCAGGCTGAAGAATTTGTTGTTAACGGACTTCCGAAAAGTTCAATTTTCCATGTTCTGGCTGTGTTTTCTGTTGCTAATATTTAGTTTTCTCTAATCTTGGTTGTGGGAGAAGGCACGGCACATCCACCTATGCCTCCATCTTGGCAGAAGTCTCAGAAAGAAAAATTTTTAAAGATTGTTCTCTCTTTCTACCTCATACCAACCCCAATACTTGTCTGTCATCTCTTTCCTCCTGGAACTTTACTTCTTTACATGTGAAACAATCTACATGAAGATGAAACAAACCTACAACCACTTGGTAATTGTCTTGAGGAGTTCCAGAGAACAGCAATGATATTCATTCAGTACAGGAACAGTGGATGCTGTTCATATTTTAAGATATTATACTTTTGTACCTTTTTTTACAATGTTGTCCCATTATTTAGTCTTTATGAGAGAGAGCACTTTTACAAAATGAAAATGTCTGTTGATTTTTGTACTTGTCCTAAAACTTTCAGTGGAACCAACACTGAAGTCTAGGAAGGGCCCAGCACTGGTTCTTGCATTATCATTCGGTCCCATTTGCTCCAGCAAATTCAAGTCTTGGATGTGTCCAAAAGGGACCTGGTCATTGTGAGGAATGGTTTAATTTTGAAAAACTCCTAGAGATGCTTTCACTCTGAAGAACATAGATTCGGAAATAGTAGCAGATCATAGGAATGAGTCCCTTCTAGTCACCAAAACCACCATTTGTTACTCCACCAGAGCCTTGCTATGATTTAAAACAACATAATGAATCCTTGATAAGTCAGTTACTCAAATAGACCATATTGAATTCACTGAACTTTGCTGACCATTAATTTGAAAACTACCTAATTGTTCAGAGAGATTCCAAAAGCAACTACATGGAGATTGCTGGTAATGAAAACCCTTTGACTATGTCATACCCAGCTAAGACCTCTATGACCAGGCTTACTCTGTCTTTCCTTCCAAACAAATTGCTGCTATTATCCATTATGGAGTCTAGTCAATTTTATTCAGAACTCCATTCAGGAAAAAGTCAACTCAAAGTGGAGTTTACAACAAATTTAGTTTTAAAAATTTTTATTGAATCTATCAGGTGACATTTGTTAGTAAAATTATATAGGTTTATAGTATACAATTCTATAATGTATTATCTGTATATTGTATTATGTGTTCAACACCCAAAGTCAAGTCTCCTTCCATCACCGTTCATCCCTGCTTTATCCTCTTCTACCTCCTCCCAACTCTTTTCCTTCTGGTAATCAGTGTACTGTTGTCTGTGTCTATGAGTTTTGTTTGTTTTGTTTCTGGTAGTCCCTTCAGTTCTTTCACTCAGCCCCTTAACACTCCAGACCTCTGACAGCTATCTGTGCGTTCTCTGTATCTGTGAGTCTGTTTCTATTTTGTTAGCTTATTTTGTTCATTAGATTCCACATGTAAGTGAAATTGTATATTTGTCTTTCTCTGACTGGCTTATTTTACTTAGTACAATATTTTCCATGTCCATACATGCTGTTGCAAAAGGTAAAATTTCATACTTTTTTAAAGCCAAGTAGTATTCCATTAAGTAAATGTGCCATAGCTTTTTTAGCCACTTAACTACTGTTGGGCACTTGGGCTGCTTCTAAATCTTGGCTATTGTATATAATGCTGCAATGAACACAGGGGTACATATATTCTTTCAAATCAGTGTTTCATATTTTTTGGAGATATCCTGAGAAGTGGATAGGATGAATTAACATCGTTAAAATGTCCATATTACCCAAAGCAATCTATAGATTCAATGCAATGCCTATCAAGATTCTAATGACATAGTTTGCAGAACTAGACAAATATTCCAAAAAATTTATGT